CTATTCTTTGCAGAAGGGAGATATATTTTACTGGATTTTTAATATTTAATGGAGATTATTAAAGTATTGTTAGAAGAATATTTTCCTAAACTATTGATTTTACCAATTTGTTTACATGATGATCTCTCTTTACTTTTATTGCTAACCTAATATGAGTTATTATAGAAAACATTTGCCACAAACCCCTAAGGTATGTATCTCCTCTTCACAAGAAGGTGGAATTATGAAAACTGAAAATTTTTGTACTGGCTCTCCGCATCATTATTAAAGTGACACTCTTCACTTGAGTCATGAAATTTAGATTAGAAAGAATTCAAGTTCCTCATGGAGAAATTCAACAAGTCTTCACCATCTTAAACTGAATATCTATCATGTATCTATTTTGTGGGGTATATTGTGAATTACAGATTATTAAATAAAAATAGATTTTAGTATTTAAGTTCTATTTAATTATTACATGTAAATGAATTTTGCTATATGTGTTATTGTCTGCTACTGCGGACATTCCGAAGCAGTTGACACAATTTTATGTCTGAGTAAAGAATGATAACATTGAATGTGTTTTTACATTTTAGTTGGAAAGTAATGGTGAAAAAAGAAGTTGGGAGAAGGGGGCAAATTTACAACTTAAGACTTTTTAACTTCAGCAGTTTATTTAATCTCTCCATGACTCAGTGTTCTCATTGTAATGAGAACATAACGGTGTACATGTGTGACTCTGGTCATTAAAGACAATGCATGTAGAACACAAAACATAGTGCTAGGTATGTATTACTTAATAGATGATGTTAGCTGCTTTTATTAGGAATGTTATTCATGAGTTCAGTTTGATTACAGTAGATTTGGGGTGATAGATCCCATACTTAAGAGTATATAATAGTGGGACTGAAATTAAGATAAATGAATATTTGGTTTATATCTAAAGTATCAACTTTCAGTAGCACACTTTAACATTTAGATTGTTAACCTGGGTGTAAGGGAAGTGTAATCACTATGGTACTAATTCAGACTAGAAAAGGATTGGTATGTTGGACTGGGAAAATCTTTATTGGCGGAAAGGGAACTGGCTTGTGTATTGTAGGATATTTACCAGCATCCTACTCGTTGTCCACCAAGTGGTGACAGCCAAAAACATCTCCAGTCACTGTCAGATGTCACCGAAGCAGTTGACACAATTTTATGTCTGAGTAAAGAATGATAACATTGAATGTGTTTTTACATTTTAGTTGGAAAGTAATGGTGAAAAAAGAAGTTGGGAGAAGGGGGCAAATTTACAACTTAAGACTTTTTAACTTCATCAGTTTATTTAATCTCTCCATGACTCAGTGTTCTCATTGTAATGAGAACATAACGGTGTACATGTGTGACTCTGGTCATTAAAGACAATGCATGTAGAACACAAAACATAGTGCTAGGTATGTATTACTTAATAGATGATGTTAGCTGCTTTTATTAGGAATGTTATTCATGAGTTCAGTTTGATTACAGTAGATTTGGGGTGATAGATCCCATACTTAAGAGTATATAATAGTGGGACTGAAATTAAGATAAATGAATATTTGGTTTATATCTAAAGTATCAACTTTCAGTAGCACACTTTAACATTTAGATTGTTAACCTGGGTGTAAGGGAAGTGTAATCACTATGGTACTAATTCAGACTAGAAAAGGATTGGTATGTTGGACTGGGAAAATCTTTATTGGCGGAAAGGGAACTGGCTTGTGTATTGTAGGATATTTACCAGCATCCTACTCGTTGTCCACCAAGTGGTGACAGCCAAAAACATCTCCAGTCACTGTCAGATGTCACCTGGAGGGCAAAACTCTGCTGACTGAGAACCACTGGACTAGAGGGAATTAGGTAGGCTTCTTCAAATGTGTAAAGAAGTCATAGCACATAGAAGAAGGAATTGACTGATTCATTGTAACCCAGAAGACAGAAGCAGCACAGACTGATAAAATTTAGAAAATTTACTAAGAGAACATTTTCATAGTTTGAGTTAGGTAAAAATAGAATGTACAGACATGTGAGTCATCACCTTCTAGCTATGATGAGTGTTTAATTAGGGGCTGGATCACTATCAGAGTTGTGCTGGGAATTTCTCTCCTGCAGAGAGTGTGAACTAAATAATCTCTTTGATCCCTTTTGATGATAAGATGCTCTCATTTTGGCAGGTATAGTGATATAGACTTGGAAATCGCTGCAGTTGAGGTCATAGATGAAGCCATGGGAAAAACTAAGCTCTCTCTGTGAGCACAAGAGAAGCTAACAGCATGGTGGGGTAACTGTTATGACGAATGCCCATAACTTAAAATGGAATCTGGAGTGCAGCCTACCTTCACTGACCCTGTATCTAGTGTATCAGGAAGGATGAAGGGAAACCAAGAAAATAAAGTGTTAAGAGAAAGTTCAAAGACTTTCAAAGAAAATCATAATGAGGAAAATATACTCTAAAATGTGAATATTTTATAAACATGAGCCATCATTAATATTAACATCTTTATTAGTATGTAATCCAGATGCCAGACTACAGTTAAGTAAGACTAGGTTGTGAGGAAATCGGCATGGAAGGAGCTGCACTGACCAGTTGCTCAATAAACTAGAGGAAGCTACAGGATCAATAAAAATAGTGTTACTCTTTTTATTTGAGCTCTTGAAAGTTTGGTACTTGAGTTTTTGAAAGTTTGAATTAAGATGAAATAGGAAGAGTTTATAAATATCGGGGGAAAGATAATTTTATAAAAAACAAAAAAGCACCTCAGTGGTTGGAATGGTTAGGGCCATGTTTTTTTTTTTTCTCTTTTCCTTTTTTAATCCACTTTTTTTGATACTGGAAATAGTTAGACAATGGATGTGGAAATAACAGCTATTGTGAGATGGTGTGCAAGTTCAGAGCTCCCAACTAGGTGAGGGGGAAAGGAGTGTGAGATTCATATAGCTGAATCTGAACTGGGGCTCTACTTCTCACTCCTGGAGTGACTATAAGCAGTTTATTTTGAACTCTCTGAGCATTGCATCCTTCTCTTCTAAAATAAGAAAATATATTCTGTCTGGAACTGTCCTTATGACTAAATCTAATCATCACTATATAATACATATCACAGTGTATAGAATGTGTTCAGAACCAATGGACAGGTGCTAGAATCGTCACTGTCATCATTGACGGGTACTCTAATATCTAATGTCCAAGTGAGGCAAGGAGAAAAAAATATATTAAGGAGTTGACAAAGTGTCAGAATTTGCACTGCTAAGGAGTGAATCAAGAGTCAGGTGATGAATACAAGTATTCCCAATAAAGATGAAGGCCTGTTTTGTTTTGTTTTGTTTTTTTGTAGAAACCAGTGACCAGAGAATTTGTAATGGCCCAAATCTGCTCACTTGTGGGTCTTTTCCTATAATAATCTTTGACCAAAGAGCAAAGGAAAAGAAAACCAACAGTGATACATGGATGGGATTGACTAATCAAATTCACAAAAATCTATTATTTTATGATTTGTTAGTCTCAAATTACTGCTAACAAATTATCCTGTATTATCATAGCTTATTGCATATTGTACATCTGTTCAGGTTCCTGGACCCAATTCCAGTGTGTGTGTGCATGGGAGGGGTTTTTCTATGCACAAAACCAAGCAATTCTCGAATACCAGCAGGGCTTCTTAGAACTCAACTCAGTTCTGACATTGTCTGCTTGGAAACAGCACCAGATTCCCCAGGTTAAGGACTTGGTCCTGCAAGATTACCCTCTGCTCCATACCCTCCCACTGCAGACGCCAGTCACACCCCCAGGCTGTTACCTGTGCTTCTGACCAAATGCAGGCAGATGGGAGGTTCCAGTGACCTCCCCTTGAGGTTTGATGAATTTGCTAGTGCAGCTCACAGAACTCAGGAAAACACGTTTACCAGTTTAATGAAGGGTAGTATAAAGGATACAAGTTAATAGCCAGATGAAGAGATAACATAGGGCAAGGTCCCAAATTAAGGAGCTTCTATACTCATGGAGCTTAGGTCTGGCTCGGTGGCACGTGGAAGAATCTGCTTCCCCAAGCATGGAGGCTCTCTAACAGGGCAGCAGAATGGAAAATGGACAAATGCTCTACTTTTGGGCTTTTTGTGAGGGCTTCATGGCATAGTTGTGATTGACTAAGTCATTGGCCATTGGCTGATCCAAACTCCAGCCTCTCTGTCGTCTCCCCTCCTGGGGCTGGGGGCTGGAGGTTCCCACCCTCCAATCACAAGGCTGGTCCTCCTGTCAACCAGCTCCTACCTTGGGTGGAGACCAACAATCTCACTGATATAAACATAACACCCATTTTACCTTTACGGCTCTAAAGCATTTTCAGGAATTGTGGATAAAGACCAAATATATCTGAGAAATATATTTTGGTCACCTGAATGATCAAATATATATTCCTTATAAATCATTGTATTACAGTAAACTAATATAGACCACATGTATAAATGAATTATTTCTTATTTTAAACATTAGCATATTCCAAGGTTTCCCAACTTCAGCATGACTGACATTTTTGGACTGGAGAATTCTTTGTTGTTGGGGGCAGACCTGTGCAAATTCACCTTTGGTTAAGAACCATTGGAATATTCTCATATCCACAATAGTTGTTAAAAAAGATAAAATGAATGAGCATGTATGATAATTTTATAAAATTGCCAGTTTCTATGACTCAAGAACAATTCAAAATATAGATTTCTGTTGCTTGATAAAAACAACAGAATTATAAATTTACGTACCATCTGATAGGAAATCTTAAAGGTAAACTATAATGGATAGCAAGGAATGTAATATTTTTTTCTACCTGTGTACTTTGATTTTACTTGACAACATTTTAAACACTGCTAATTTATCCTTTTTGCTTGAATTATTTAACAAGGTAAAGTGATTACTTGTATATATATATATTTAAATCCTGTACATATTCTTTTATATTTCATTACATATTTCAAATACTTTAAGTAAAAGTTATTTATATTTTATTTTCCAGTTGCTTTTTATCCTTATTACTGGTAGCTGCTGTGGTATGGAAGATCAAACAAACATGTTGGGCTTCTCGACGAAGAGAGGTATCAGTAATAATTTAATCTTTTGTTTAAAGATTCAAGCAAACATATGGATCTCTATTGCTTAATTAACATGCTCCTTTCAAATTAGTTTAATTTATTAAGATTGAACAATCTAGCATTTTTTAAGCTTTAAAGTAAATCTTACCACTGTCATTTTAAGTCAGTATTTATAGAAACATTGGTTAGTTGCAGTTTTTTAAAACAGTGTTATAATTTATATTGAATGCATTTATTAATTCTGTTGATTAATCTGCAGTCTCTTTAATTTAGATACTTATACTATAAAAACAACATATTTTCATAACTGTCTCTGTTGCAGTGTGAAAGAAAATTCTTATATATATTTATTTTTGTTTTTCCTCCTACAATCTTTTTTTTTGTAATCCACTCATTTACATTTCATGGTTATCCAATAATCCAACTGTGTTTGATGTGTACCTCAATTCGATACATTTCCTGTACCAGAATTAATCATGTATGGTCCTTATAATCCTAAAACTGACAAGACAGTAATGCTTTTACAGAACAACTAATGATGTAAATATATTCGTTTCTTAACTTTGTAATTATTACCTATTTGAAAGAAAGAAATATAATAGCCTGAGGAGCATAAGTGTGTAGTAGATTTATTGTTCCATACTTCATATAATATAAAAACAAGTTTCTGTTTTATTAGTATATTATATTAGTATTAATATTAGTATTCCAGGATTAGTATTACTAGTATTCCAGTTGCTATTGCATTCCCCAGTATGTGTATAATTTTGTGCAACAATATAAAGCAGTGATATAATTGCCTACCTTCTTTTTACACATACAAAAAGATTATATTTAAAGATATTTAAAAACAACCCAGAGTATTCCTAGCTATAGAATTAGTGAATGAGATGATTTCTTCTTATTCTTCTATTTTCCAATATCCATCATAACTCAGTTCCTACTTATAAAATATTTGCAAACCAAATACCCGCAAACCCTCAAATAAGTTACTCACCCCAATCCTGTTCACTTCTCTGATATTCTCTCTATGGCCAGTGCAACATTAATGAGAATTTCTTGGTTATAACATTATGATAAAAAGTAATCCAGTTGAAAAGGAACTTATTAAACATGAATATAAATATTTGACAAGAAGTGTAATACTGTGTGGAGACAAACAGTCCTCTTATATGTTAGACAATCTATTAAGGTGAAAGTATAGATTCAGGAAGGGAAAAACAGTCCAACTGGTAGGCAGGCAGGATGAATGCCTTTCATAAGCAATAGGCAAGCAACAATTTGTGCCTCTCATCATTAGAAAATAAGTCAGGAGTAGTCAGAAAACCTGGGTTCCTACTTCATTATAACTAAAAATGTTTCAACATCTGTTTTACAAAATTTATAGAGTACAACTGTATAAATACAGCATTGTGAAAGATCCATGTACAACTCTGTCACTAACAGTTTCGAAATATGGATAAGTGGTCTAATTGAATTTCCTCTAAAGAGAGGGGATGGTATGTAACTGCATAACTAATTCCCAGTTGGAGGTTCCTACAACCCTGAGGATGTGTATATATATATATATATATATAATAACTAAAGTTTAGAAAAAGTATTAAATAATTTGAGAGAACTAGTGTGAGTAGTTTATTTACTTATAAAACTCACACATCTCAAAATGACAAATGGTTTTGGTTCATATTATATCACCTCAGTGTAGTAATGTTGTTTATTCCATATTATCAGATGCTTTGGGAAGCTGATATTACTTTAATACAAATATGAATTTGTCTTTTGATTGGAAGTCAAAATCTTTCAAAATATGTGCTGCACATAGAAAGAACAAGGGAAAAATAGGAAGGGGGTATTGGCTTAGTGCCAGTATTATTTTCTTTAGAACACTGACATTCATTATTGTAAATCACAGAGGAGCCCTGGGATCAGTAAAATTACTATTATCTGTAACAGTAACTGAAAATTAAAGGATTCTTCTTCCTTAGTGTTTCTGTAATTATGCTACAGGAATTATACTACTTGATTTTCTAAATATAAGACTAGTTTTAAAATGAAAATCATCTTTAGAGATTTTTTAATAACTGTGTTAATCAAGCAAAATATATATACACACATATTTAACAAGTAGAAGCTTTGGTTTCTCATAAACACACACATACTTCTTTTTGTGGTATAGTTTTAATATCAGAAACCTGTTACTAATGTTATCTCTTTATGTTGAATAACACCCCTGAGAACTCAGGAGCTGTTAAAAATACAAAAATGAAACTACAAAGGACTTCAATTTTAATATTACCTCTATATTTAGGAGCTCCAAATTCATTTCGATGATAACCCTATTAAGAATATGAAAGTTTTTCTTGGGGGAGACTGTACTAATGAATGGAAACAATAAGCCAATATTGATCAGTGAAAATATAATACGCTAGAAGGATGAGTTCATTTTGATAGCTTGTGCCATTACAGAGGCATTGAAAACATTTAGTTCCAGTGGCACATTCAGTTTTAGATAAATTGTCATTACATTACAAAAATATTTGTGGAAGCAAGTGTATATTAAAAGGAGTCCCATGGAAAATTGTCATGCTTATACTCATCATTTTTTAACTGACATTGGAAATTTTTAATAGTTATCATAAGGTACAAACCCATCAAAATATTATAATTACTCCTTGAAACCTTATATTTGACTAACGAGGGAAAATACTATATTAAGTTACAAGAAGTTAATTTTTTCAGTTGGAAACATTTATTCTCACATATTTTGAGAGGTTTAACTGTAGTTTAACTCAGTTAAAATCTAACTGGAAAATCCGTAGAAAAATAGATCCCATAGGGAAAAGTAAGGTTACTTTTAATCAACTTCATGTTACTAGTGGGTCTGTGTATTTGAATGATTATTACATTTCCTGTACTAGCAAGTTTTCCTTTCTAAATTATCTTAGACTTACAGTTCTTTAAAAGTTTAAAAATATATTATTTAGGGCTTTATCACATTATTTATCTTTCATAGTATAGTATCATTCTCTAATGCTTAAAAATCAATAGAAACAGCATTGCCAGGGGCAAGACAGTGTCCAGTGAGTGACTGACCCTGTGTTCATGACGCTCTGCTGGCCTACACGTCATGATAATGCAGCGTAAAGCTTAGGTTTGAATCAAGCATCATCGACCCAAGTCTGAGTTAAAGATAATAAGCTAGTAATAAAGTGAGATTTTAGTAGGTCTAAGTAAAAAACTGCCTTTCTAGGGGCATTAATTCTCTCTTACATCTCTAACTCTTGTGGGCACAAAAACAGAGAAATAATAATTCATTAAATTATACTTTACTAAGGACATGTCACAAGTAAAGAGTTAATGATAAAATATTCTCCGAGATGCTAAGTTTGTAGTAAATGTGTTCTCATGGAAATATTAACGCAATGCTGCAGTGTTTTGCAAAATGAATTACTGTACCTCCTTAGACACCTAAAATATTCAGAGAGAGTGGACATAGAGTGAAGAAAATAATAAGAAAATGTTATTTTGGGCGGAAAGATTAAGATTAACTAATTAGGTGGTGTATGCAACTTCTCGAATTTCTTAGTACTTGAAGAATCTGTATTTTATATAATGTTTAAACATTTTAATATCTAGATAGAACTTTTTATAAAACATGTCCTTTGATCAAAAAGGCAAGAAAATTTTTAACCATTACTCAAATGCACCCATATAAATGGTTCTCTTTGTAGTTAATGGCCTCATTGTTAACTTATTTTTGCTTATCATTTTCTCTTACCGAATTACAAAATATAATGATTCTGTTGCTTTAATTTTTTTCACTGTAAGGCTAGAAATTACAGATGTTCGACATGCCTATTTATGGTATCATAGTTTTAAAAAGTAGCATAAGTCTACTTAAATGTAACTTGAATGGAGAAGTCAAATATGTATGGGAGCATAAGAATTGAAAGTTAACTGATGCATGCTTTTTACACTGTTCCCAGAGAGCTTATTGTAGATGTCAGTGCTTCCATTTTGTGTAATTCAACAGAGAAGTATTAATCTTTTACAATATTCCAGAGAGTGAATATAAAGAAAAGGCGTGGTGCCATTTTTAGGGAATTCATAACTTTAAAACATTTTCAATAAGATACACACACACACACACACACACACACACACACACACACACACACACACATACACATACATATATGTACCCAGTTCTCAAAGTAACACCTCAGTTTATTTTGCTGTGGTATCATCTATAAGGGGAGATACAGTATATTACAAAGTTTTCTGAAAATAGGATTAGTAATGGAAGTAAATGTGAACTACTGCATAACTCTACACAGAATTAATTTCTAAAAAAATGATGAAACTTTGAGTTGTTTTCATTACATATATATGTAGATATAAATATACACACACACAATATGAAAACTTTGCCTAAAACCCTAGTTTATTTATTATATGTCTTTATCTTTAATTTGGACCCAATTATTTACATACATTAAGAAATGGTCAGGATATCCTTCCAATAAATTTTAATCTAATTAACCACAGAATTTTATGTATCTGCTACACACATGAAAATATATGTGTATATATGTTTCCAATATATATGTGTGTGAATGTTTTTATACTAAAAAATATTCATTGTTTAAACTTTAAATTTAACTGGACATTCTATGTTTATATTTTCTCAATCTGACAGCACCATTTACAATACAAATGCTCACCCAGGAGCTGAGGGTATTTTCAACCCTACAAAATTTACATGGACCAAGAGAGACAAAAGACTAATTCCCCAAAGTAGAATCTTGATTTCTTTTCAAAACAAAGGGGAGTTATACTGAGCAACAAAAATAAAAGAGGTTTACTCTGGGTATCATCTATCAAAATTAAAAGAAAAAACTCTGTCTTAACAATTAGATTTCTAGGAATATATCCTAAAGATATATGCCTGCCTATGTTTTCAAACTATATTCATACAAAGATATTTTAGAGGGTTTTTTGAA